TACTACTATATCTATATGATAGACATATATATTAAAGATAATACATACAATATATACTGTCAATTTATTTTTTAATACAGAATTTCGATTTGTTTTATTTTGAAAAGAATAAAACAAAAATCTAACAAGTGGGAGATAGCCAAAAGGATATACATTTAACATATTAAACATAATTATATGATATTTACGGGATATCAAGGCCTTCAAAACCACTCTAAATATATTTAAGAGCTTCATTTCAAATTTCATTTTAAAAACAGATAAAACCCATTCAAAAAGTTACTTCAGTAATAAAACTCTTTGAGAAACCAAGAAAACCAACTCTATATATAAATTCCCACTATTTCATAAGATATTATAGAATATATTAAAGCAAAACAATAATTAAAAATAAGTATGCAAAAGACTACATATTTAAGCATTCAAGTCTATAAAATTGATACTGATCGCAATCGAATTATTCATTCAAATAGCTAGACAAACGAATGCAGAGATTAACATGGCTAAAAGGACTCAGGACTCCATAAAGGAAAGAAACAAATATACCCCATTTTAGCCATTTACAATTGCCATTTGAGGGTATAAAAAAGAGAACATCGATTTGTAGCAGCGCCTGCGCAAAGCGTGAAATTTATGCGACCCACACGCAGCGCCACTCACACGACCACGACCCAGCAGCCAAACAGCCAGATAGACGGACAGACAGAGCTACAAACGTAGCGAGAGCCAAGTGAAGATGCTTCACCTTCACCCAGGCCAAGTTGTAGTCGAAGTTGGAGTCGAAGTCGAAGTCGAAGTCGAAGTCGTAGCCAGCAAATTTCATTTCTCGCAATAAATCCATGACTGATTTATGTACTGCACAATCGTTACAAATCACAAACGTTTACTGAATGAGCCGAGTACGTCCATAGCCTCTGCACCCCGCACCAGACGCAACAGAGAAGAAATACAAAAAAAAAAGTGACAGTGGCTGCTGTCTGTTTGTCTGCTGCTGCTGCTGCTGCTGCTGAGGCCTCCTGCCTGCTGTTGCTGCTGCTGCTGCTGTCTCACGTGCTGGCTTTCAGCTTCAATCAGCGCGTCTTCACTCGTCTGCGGATGCTGCTGAATTGCATTTGAATTAATTAAAATGCAGCAGTTGCTGCCTGGGCAGCTGCTGCTGCTGCAACTTCTGCAACTACTCAACAACAGCTCAAAATTTGTCAAATCAAAGATTTAGCAGAGGCCAAATAAATATGTCTCCATTACTCACACACACACAGAGAGACCGGCACACTCACGCACACACACACAGTGCAATGATGTTGATGTAAATCTTGTACACACATGTTTATCCTTTTGTTTGTGTCAAACAATTGAATCGCATTGACAAAAGCAAGACAAAATCGATCAAGCAGCAACTGCAGCCCGCTGCAAATCTCAAACAAAGAATCGCATACGATTTACATACTCTCCGCCGCGACACTCTCAACGACGAGAGGCGACTTTTGTGTCCACTTAACGTTGACGTAGTCGTCGTCGACGATCTCTGCCCTGGGCGCATGCCAGCAACAACAACAACAACAACAACCGCAACGAGTTGCAGCCTGTTGCCAAGTTGGGACAAAAAGGATGACTAAATGCATGCAAGTTATTTAAATGAGACATTTTAAGAGTCAGTTCATGGCAAGGCTGCAGAATGTGGACAGCTCTCGGTTCCAAGCTCTTGAGAATCCGTAAGCGTACACTGGGCATATAAGCTCAAGTGTCGCACTTGTCAGATATATATTTACAAATCGAAAAGCGAAACTTGGAATATAACATTTTTAGCTTTCCATGGCATATTAGAAAATTTAAAAATATGTTTGGAATATGCATTTATGGAACATAAGTATTTTCCTATATTTTTTTAATCATTTAAAAATTGTAAAATTAAAAAAAAAAATTAAATTAAATATATCAAAAATTGTTATAATATTTCTATCTATCCATATTTTATTTCTGTCTTTATTTTATTTATACATTTTTCTTATATTTCAAAGTAAAAGACATTATAGTTGCCAAATAAAGCCCGACCTTGGTTTCAGATATATCAATATTTTTAAATTATATTAAATTATAATATTTATTATTATAATTTAAATTTCGAATCTCTTTCCAGCATAAAGTATTACCAGAAATTGTCAATTTCATTTCCATATTAGCAAACAATGTAGAGAAATTTCAACAGTCTAAGCCTTTCCAGACAATTTCCAGCTCCTATTTGATACATCTCTGTTTAATTTTATATACTGTTATATACTGTTAAGTTCGAAAGTCTTCAATAATACTTTCGCTTTAATTGCCGAAAAAGCCCTAGCTCTTAAATTGTATGCATAATAAAGTGTATTCTATAAAGAGCATCTCTTTATCGACTTGCTCTGTTCCATCAGAATGTTTACGTTTAGGTTTATCTTTCAGCTGTTGGAGCGCAGCAATGCGGACTATTTATGTACGTACACTTTTCGGGCCGGATCGACTGGCTAGCTGGCTGGCTGACTGGCTTGGCTGCCCGGTTTGGCTGTCAATTTTGGGTGGCGGCTTTGGTTGGTTTTGGCGTCTGCTAATTGTGTCGCAGCTGCCAGATTTATGTGGCCCAATCGATTCGTTAATGTATGCAGATGCGTTTGGGGCATCAAATTATAATTCAATTTCTCGAATAGAAACGTTCGACCACCGTGCTAGTTGAATAGACCTAGGCGATTGGCCTAGCCGGAGCTGGTTAGCTAGCTGACTGACTGTGCGGCTGTGCGACTGTGTGGCTGGCTGTCTCTAAGATTGGCTCATAAATTGTCCAAATTAATTCATTGCGGCACCAATGGCGACACCTACTCGTTGTCCGGCATTGGGGAATGTCTCTTAACCACTTGATTCGTAAGTCATAAATTTATAGTCTTTATTGAAACATCAATTTGGACACCATAGCAGCGACAGCAGCAACACCTAGACGCGACGCCCAGTTCAAAGTTACCCGATCCAATTGTATTTGGACTGGCGGGAGAAGTGAGAAGTCGGCAGTGAGCAGTGAGAATCGAGAAGCGAGAAGTGAGCTGTAAGAAGCGAACCAGCAGCCGACAAGGTGGTCTGCGATGATGCGCCCAACGTTTCGACCAACAGCAGCGTTGTGCTGTTGTTTCTTTTTCTACTGTTTAGAACTGGTTTGCGTTTTACATTAACTGAGCATATTTTTTATTTAGCTTTTTTACTGTTGCTGTTGTTGTTGTTATTGTTGTTTCGTATATCATTTCGTTTGGTTTTTTTTTCTTTTTTTTTCTTTTTTGGCGGATTCAGCATTCAGCCAATCGCTAGCGATTGTTAATGTTTTAAACACTTTTACAGCTAGTTATGCAAATGGCTGTTTTTTTTTCTTTTTGTTTTGGGAAAGTCTGCGTACCTCTAGGCGTTATTTTGGAGGCGAGAATGGAGTCGATTTATCGCCGCGATGATCTCATGCGCTCACAAAGAGGCGTGACAATGGCAATCCCACTTTGATTTATATATTGTCGTGCATGCGCTTATTATGCTATTGTTGTTGTATAATAACTTTATTTAATGGCTAGATATTAATCATACCACATGTTGTGGCAATTAAATTGAAGCTTTCTAAACAAAGAGAAGAGACAGAAAGCAGCAAGTGTCCTGATCATAGCAAGCAGCCCTGCGCTCTTAAGGCGCATAGCAAGCAGCTTGTGACACGAGTTAAATGAAATTGAGCAAGCAGTGGAGAGTAGTTAAGCAAGCAGTTCATATTTGTGTAGCGCCATTTTGGCATGTGCAAATTTGTTTAAACAATTTAGTTGAATACATATATGTCGGCGGGGTTATTAGACTGTGTGTAGCACGTGTATTTACCACGAATTGCAAATTACTTATTAACTTCATCTGTTTGCACTATTGTCGCTTAGCGATCATACGCTAGAGCGGGGCGACTCGGAAACTGCCACCGAATGAGATTCAGTGGTATTGGAAGAAGAATAGATAGATTTTGTACTCAGTTCTTCCTGAAGACACCTTGCATACACATCGAAACTCGCTGCGCACATACGAAATCATTAACTAAAAATATAATATAACAGATTGCTGACATATCATAGATAACACATTGTAGATTCGTTCGATTCAAATGATTGATGTGTGAACAATGTTTTCGAATTGTGTTTATTATCTTTACGGGACTACAATTCGGTTACATTTAGTTGTAAGATATTCTAGACCTAAAATCGCGTTTTTATTGTGACATATTAAAAATCTATCCCTGACAATCTTCTCATAGAACAGCCTGACACGATCAATCTCCATAGGCTGCTATGGGAGCATAGAACGGAGAGCATTGCCTCGGTCGTAGAAACGAAACGCACACTGAGATAGTAAGAAGTTCAACAGACAGAATATGCCAGCCTATGCGTCCGCCGTGAAATACATGTAAGGTTATATATATGCTGTCCACATATGCTTTTATATATCATTATCAAATATACATTAAGTATCGCGCGGAGTCCTTGCCTATCAAGCAGCTTTTAACTGTTGGTGGTGTAACCCAGCTCTGTACAACAAATCTTTCATGGAAATGAAGTTTTGTAACAAGCAGCTTTGTACTACTCAACCACAATAAGTCTCTGTCGACAGAAAGCAGTATTTGTGCAAGTATTTTCAAGCAGTTCAGCAGGCAAGCTGTTGCAGCTGCTAAAATACCGTTATACCTCAGAAATATTTATTCTTGTTACAACAAACAACAAATTGTTAAAAAATTTAAAAATATACATAGTAATACATACATACATACATAAGTAGTTTCTAAAAAAATTATTTAAAAAATCATAAAAATTTTCAGACAAATTCCCCAAGTACGAGACACAAGCGACTCAGTTGTCGTTAACAGCTGCCTAACAGCTGTGGGTGGTCCTGAGGGTGGGTGTTACGACTGCCCCAACATGGATTTGAACTAGAGCAACCTCCTATAAACGGACGAAACTCAACAGGTTTAAGTTCAGTTGCTGCCGGTCGCTTCAGTTGGAACAACACGCGTAATTCCTGAGCGCATAACGCGACATTAACGGTATTCCAGCATTTGGCCCAAATAGATAATTGAATTTTGTGGCTCGCCACCCCCATGTGCGCCCCACTCCACAATTTAATGTGGCAATAAAAATAATATTCATAATATTTATTGTTTATGTGCGGGCGCGATTGATGTGCAAATAAATATATAACGAAATTTGGTGGTGCATTTCTACGGTTTAAAATCGAAAATTTATGGCATGCTCAGAGCATTTCCTTTTCTTAACGTGTTATCGCATTAATCATAATTTTTTCAAGTTTTTGTTGTTTTCATTAATGTGTGTTGATTGACTTTTGCCCCGTTTGATGAGCATTTGTCAAGGCAATTAAAAGTTTAATCAATAAATGCGTTTGATGTGTGTGAAAAGTAAACAACTAGAGCAACAGGCTGTGTCGAAAGGATGTGTGTGTCTGGGGTGTGCGTGAGTGTGTGACTATGGGTGTGTTGATGTGTGTGTGTGTGAGAGGGTGGGCATTGCAGAAATTGTTTGCACAAAGCTACACTGAGCGAAAAATATAAGTAGACAGCAATTGAAATGTTGCTTGTGCTAATAATCCTTTATTTACTCGCCCTTTCATTACATTTCCTCACTTTGATATCAAATGTAACTTCAATTAAACTGAAAGTGCGACAGGACTGGACAGGACACAATACAAACCCAAACCCATGAAAGCCATCGCTGGCTGCTCATCCATCAAATTTGTTCTGCTGACATTTCGCTGACTGGTTGAGTCGCTCTGTTGCGCTCTCCAGCTCTTATCACACCCACAGCCAGACACACACAAACACACACACACACATACATATGCACACACACATGTGTCTGTATTTATTCCTTTTTTTGCAATTATTTTGCGCGTATCAGCGTCCGCCTTGCCTTCATCTCATTAGAGTTAGCTGGAAAAAGCCAGACAAGTGCTTCTATCTCTCTATGATCGAAGCTGATACACTCGAGCAACAACAACAACAGCAACAACAACAATTATGTATTGCTTTTTATGCAGCCATAAACGTTTGTATTTATGAGCCGTTCTCGATGTGCTCGCTTGGGCAATGAACAATATGCTAAATGGTAGAGCAGCTTGCAAATTGAATATAGGTTTACAACAACAACAACAGCAACAACATCAACAACAGCAACCACAACAACTATCTAGCGACATGGAGACAACAGCTGTGGATGCAACAGCTTCGGCAACAGCCTCCGCTTCAGCATCTGCCGCAGCATCCACATGCATTAAGATAAACATTAGCAACTGCAAATCTAATCATCCCGCCATTCGTTCAAGCAACGAAGCTGGTGGCACGGCCGGTGATGCTGGCGACGGTGGTGGGGCTGGTGCTGGTGCTGGTGGTTCCCTGCTGTTGCCCACACACACGCATCACAATCTGCAACTCGATAAAATTTCCGTGCGCTCGATTAGTTCCGAGGATATTTCCAATGTTGGCAGCGGACGATGCTGCAGTGCAGCGGCACGAAATCCGGCCATAAAAACGGGGCGACGTTTGCAGCTAATGCAGGTGAGTTGAATATGGCCCAAAAGAAAAGGGAGAAGAGGTGTATGTGTGTGTGTGTGTGTGTGTGTGTATGTGTCAGCCAGCATAAATTAGCAAAAGCGTATGCATCTTAATTAGCGCAACAGCTGGACGAACGCAAGGCTGAGTGAGCGTAGGGCAGAGAGGGGATGGGAGGGGCGTCGAGCCGGTCACGTGCGCTGACCAAATGAAGTGCCGCGATTAGCAACACAGCACGATAAAGACTAATCACACTTCAACACACAGACACCGAGAGACGCACACACACAAATGAGAATAGATAGGCAACTCTAGAGAACTCAAAAATAGACCGTATACAGAGTGTGCTACCTAGAATGAACTGCAACACTAAAAGAGAAGGAAATAAAGAGCAACTAAAAGCTTGAGCAGAATAATGGAAAGAGAAAGGGAATCAAAGTGTGTCGTAGAGCTCATATCCGAACAAGAGTTCTACTGGAATCTAAGCAAAATAATTACTGAAGGACTTTAAATTGAGTACAGTAAAGCTCAAAATTATTGTGATTGCCGAAGTATAAAAAAATCCTAATATATGTGCAAAGTTCCTATTAGAGACTTCACTGTACATACATTTACATTTCTCATATTTTTATGACACAAAGGAATTTACAAATCCATAATTTATATCATAGAAAAACAGATGTTTTGTAGGCGAGACTTTACTGTAGAGTATAAATGAACTTCTACTCTAATATATTATATGGAAAGAATTATGTAACACAATTATTTATTAAATTTGTTCAATCGTCGAGAGTTCACTGCCAACTGAAGTTTTAATTTTAGTTTTACAATTTTTCATGAAATATGGAGGAATATAATTAACAAATAATACCAGAAAGTATTATTCAATTTGGTTATTCGTCAGTCAAGTGTTCACTGTACATAGCTAAATATTCTGATTCTTTATTTAATGTATAATGCATAGTTCAGTTTAAGAACACATTTACCCCTCACTCAGCTGTTCGTTGATAGAGTTATCACTGTACATATACATATATCTATTTTGCAGATGATAATTCTACCATTCATACCCATATTGGCATTGATTGTGCAAACATCACTAACCCTGCAGGAGATATTGGAGTATCGAGCCGATGTGGCCGACATTGAGACGCAGGTAAGTCAACAGGTGAACAAACAAACCGAAAGAGAAGGAGAGGTAGATAGAAGGAAAGGAGCAAGTCTGCAAGCTTAATTAAAATTTATTGCTGAAATTCAATCATACGAGGCAAGTAAAGTTCATGTCCTGGCACGCTCAGTGCTTACTTGTACTGCACAAAAAAAAAGCAAACAGAAAGGTAACAGATGTGTAGTCCAGTGTAGCAAATGTCCTCTCACTCGCTGTGCGTTCATGACGACGATGGCTATCGAACTGAGGGGAGGGCTTAGGGGGCGTGGCGGGGCTGTTCCAATCGGCAATATTTGTTTGGTCAGGTAAGTGCAGCATGCTTCAAGTGCGCACGAAGCAGTCGCTAGACAAGGTACTCAACGTCGTCGGAGCTTTCAATCCCATTCCACCTGAGTGACGGGCGTTGAGCTCCTCTGCTGTCCACCATGGTTTTTTCTTCTCTTTATTTTATGCAAATGCGTGAGATATGATAAAGAAATAAATAAATATATTGCTTGATGCTAAAGTGAATTGATAGGCGAAAATATGCATTGGCACAGTTACAAAAGTTGTGTGGGCGTGGCAGCCAGGAAATGCGCACACTGCGAGAGTCCTTGAATTGAGTCACGTACTTGACCTGAATGTGGCTAAGCACAGCTAAGTGTATACCCTAGCCAAAGGGCCTACAGCGGGTATCGCAATTAGCAATCTCAAGAGTGCAGCAGAAAACAATTTAAAGTCTCTCAAGTGTTTAGTAATTTGAAAATTGTCTAATTGGCTGTAGGGATTTGAGGCTCTCACGCTCTCTCTCTCTCTGGAGTATTTTCTCACATTGCCAGCAATCAATACAAATATTAATCGAAATAAATGGAATAAGTAATAAGAGAGAGAGAGAGAGATGCGAAGAGAATCCCATAGGACATCAGGTAATCAACCACAAGAGTCCTAGAGCTAAGCAATCAAGTTGTATTCTTTAAAAGTGAAATTTTATTTCTGAAAGCGGGCATTAAATTTAACATTAAAATATTAAATGAAATATCAGCAACAAATGTAATTTTTACAATCAAAACTAAGATAAATCAAATACTTCTTATTCCAAAGAAATGGCTTGGTCAATTAGAGCAAGTCTTCAGGCCACTTGAGCAATTCAGTTTTCCTAGCAACAAAGAATTTATTGTCTGGAGAAGTATAATTTTAATTTCATTCTACGTTTGAAGAAATATTTTATTACTTTAAGTTACAGTAATATATATAGTTATGCATTAGCAATGGTTTACCTTCTCTGCAGATTAATGAATAGATAAAGATATATAATAAGGTAAAAAAAAAAAAAAAAAAAACACTAGTAATAATAGATATTTCTGCTAATATGCCTTGGACCCATATGAATCCTAGATTTCGCACAGACTATGTATATAATTGTTTTAATTTTGCAATTATATCATACTCTACTTCCAATTACACCCAATCAAACTCAATAATCGAAAAGAAAACTTTTGTAATAAGCCAGCGAATAGAAATACTTCGCTAAGTAATTAATAAGTATATGCAAAAGTAAGCGAACTTGATGAATTATTCAATGTGTTACCAAGCAAATGACTAACTAATCAAGACCACGCCCCGTAAAGGACAATAGACAGAGAAAGACACACAAACACCCACACATACACACACACACACATACATTATCCACCTACACTAGATAATCTCATTTATCAATGGTTCGCCCACGAAACCAGGTGACAATTGCAACGGACTTGGGCAAAGTTGTGACGCGACTGCAGCTCGAACGTTCCGAGGTGGCCTTCTATATCTTTACCAATGGCAGCAAGCAGCGGTGAGTTGAGATAATGATAGACTTTGCCTTTTAACAGTCATAACAAGTGCGAAAATATATAAATATATATATATACACATGTATATATACATCTGTTCAGGGCAAATCTAACTCAACGCTTTGCCAACACGGATCATGCGCTAAACAATATGACAACATGGAGCGAGATAAGTGTGCCAACGGCGCCCGATGAGGACGAGGATGACCGAGAGGTTATGTTGAATCGCAACGAGTTCCAGAGTCGCTTAAATGAATTTCGCGAACGTGTGCGCTTAGAGCCAGAGGATAGTTCCATAACTGAAGTTATGAATTGGTATACATCCATTAATCGGGGACTGCTACATCATCTAAACGAGCAAATTAAAGAAACGGACAACAGCGGCGTTTGGCGGTACGTTAACCACATCCTCCTCTTGCCCACACACGTCCTCCATCCGACCATAACAATAAAAACTTTTCTTGCAGCTATTTGGTGGGCTTTAAGAATCTATTAAAGAGCATTGAGTGCCAGAATATAGCCACCTCGTTTGGCATACGCTACTATGGCAGAGGGCCGCTCACCGCTGAGAATTTCGTATCCTATGTGCGTTACGAGTTTATGGCGCGAGAGATGATTAATTCCACCTTGAACTATGCGCCCATGCTGAAGGCCATGTATACAAATATCACGAGTTCCAAGAAATATCATCGCGTTAAGCTCATGTGAGTGGCACTTGATAATTGCGCTTTAATTGATATTAGTTTAATGTACTATGTGCACACTAACTATATTCATTAATATATATAATTAATAGGAGCAACATGGTGTTAAAGAATAAGCCAAATATCTCGGACGAGCGCAGCGCAGTTGAATATAATGAGTTTATGCACAACTACACGGACGATTTGCGCATACTACAAAAGGCGTTGCGGCGACTAATTAAGTAAGTAATTAGTTAGAAGTTGAATAAATACCTTTGTACACACTTTTACAGAAGCTTTTACACAAATTTGTAAATTTTCACTTTCACTCGATCAGCACGCGGTAAACACACTGCTGATTGGCTTTAGCTATCGAAATCATGTATCGATATTGTACTCAAAATGGTCATCTTTTCCCATTTTGCTTTGTTCGTAGTTTGCAATTAAATACTGCACAAGTCGTTTGCATATGTTTATTTGCAATTAAATACTGCAAGTAATTTGCATGTAAATGGCAACTCCGCAGCTGAGCTGCATACTGAATATGCTCTTATTGCACTTAGGTTTCTATCGATAATTGTATGCTGATACTCCATGCCGCCATTTTGCATAATCAGCTGCAAAACAAATGGAAACCTATTTGCATATGAGACTGGCAAAGTATAGCATAGTTATAAGCGGAGATTTTTAAGTAATTGCTTTTCGTTGCAGAGAATATGTAGATAAAACATTAGTCGAAGCAGATCGCAAGGAAGCCATTGGCATAGCCATTTTGGTTGTTGTGCTGCTCGTTTCACCCATTATAATCATACTAGTCAAGAATGCAGCAGCCACTATACAGGTAAGAAAGAGACGGTAGATTGACTGAATTAATATAAATTATTGATTTTTTTGCTAGCTTTATGCCATGAATCTATCCCAGAAGGCCAAGGAGCTGAAGCGTGAGAAACGCAAAAGTGATTCGTTGCTTTTTCAAATGTTGCCGCCAAGCGTCGCAATGCAGCTGAAGCAGACGCAACAGGTGAGAATGTGTGTGTGTGTGTATGTGTGCGCGTGTATAGACTAAGAATTCCATATTACTTATTATTTATTAGTATTACTTGAACACGCAATTTATATGGGTCCTGCGTGTATTCGATAGCGAGTCTCTACTGTATTTGCATTTCAATTTTAACGGCTTTCTATTTCATTAAATTGTGCCCGGTCAGGTGCCCGCTGAGCTCTATGAAGCGGTTACCATTTACTTTAGCGATATTGTGGGTTTCACCGAAATTGCGGCCGAGTGCACGCCCCTGGAGGTAAGCTCCATTAAATCAGAGAACTTAATGGACATGATAAACTGTATAACTATATTCGACAGGTCGTGACCTTTCTCAATTCGATCTATCGCGTTTTTGATGAGCGCATTGAATGCTACGATGTCTACAAAGTGGAAACAATTGGCGACTCCTACATGGTGGCCTCTGGGCTGCCCGTGAAAAACGGTAATTCATGCAAATTGTCAACTTGTCAATCCGAACAGGCATTTACCCAACTCACGGCGCCGCCCCGCCAAACATCCCCCGCCCCCTCATTGACAAACATCGCCATTCCCATGTTTCAGACATGTGCGCTAATTTTGGGCTTTGTGCGTCCTTAATTTATGCTGTCCCCCTACCAAAAAAAAAAAAAAAAAATGTAGCAAAAAAAAAGAGACTAAACATATGTTTCGGTTGGTTCGCCCCCGCAGGCAACAAGCACATCACCGAGATTGCAACAATGGCACTTGATTTGCTGGACGCCTCGTCTGTGTTTCGGATTCCACGCGCCGGCGACGAGTTTGTTCAGATCCGCTGCGGCGTTCACACCGGACCCGTTGTCGCCGGCATTGTGGGCACCAAAATGCCAAGATATTGTCTATTCGGGGATACGGTGAACACGGCATCGCGCATGGAGAGCACCGGCGAGGCACAGAAGATACATATCACCGAGGAGATGCACGAGGCTCTGCAACAAGTGGGCGGCTACAAGACCGAGCATCGCGGCCTCATCGATGTCAAGGTGAGCTATGTATGGACTAAAATATTCTTACGATATTTGCATAGTCGATTATTATCATATTAATCGGGAGTGCGAAAATAATACGAAAAGTCGGAATTTTGCCTTCTACATATGATATACATAGCTATAACGCCGTTATTCATATGCCTCATATCGTTAAATTAATGGTCCACATTTATAATCTGATTGTATTTCGCAGGGCAAGGGATTAATGAGCACCTATTGGTTGACCTGTAAGGATGGGCCGGTGCGTGCGCGTGAGGAAATTTCGTGGTGTGCGGATATGCAGCCAGTTTTTCTGGACCATCTCAAGTTGCATCCGCCGACGAACTACAAGCTGCCCAAACGTAAATGAGGCAAACGCACACAGAAACCGCAATTTACGAATCAGCAAAATTACTACAGTTACCCACCCACTCTCTCTCTCTCTCTCTCTCTCCCTTTCTATATATATTATGGTGTATGTATGTGTGCGTGTGTGTGTGCGCTATATTTTGTGTGTAAACGCCCAGTAGGCGTAATTAGCCGCACAGAAGCTATTACTAGTTACTGAAGTTACTATGTAGTTTTAATCTCGGCCTCATGTGCTAGCAAAATCTAAGACAGATGTGCTGTGCATATGTACTTACATACATATGTACATGTGTATGTATATAAACAAGTTCCACACTTACTGTATGCCAGAGTTCGATTTGTATTAGATATTTGTGGCACATAGTATTTGCTATATGTAGTTGGGAGCTAGTTGCTCGAATAAATGTTATACTCATAAAAGAAAACATACAATACATATACAATTTTTAATTTCTCGTAAAACTTCGCGTTTACTCGATCAAAGCCCGGCAATTGCACTGCTGATTGGCAAAAGCTATCGAGCTCATGTATCGATACTCAAAAATACTGCACGTCATTTGCATATAAATGGCAACTCCGCAGCTCCATTTTGCTTTACCGCCATTTTGAACAATCGGCATAAAAGCCATCGAAAACTCGTTTATATTTCGAAATTATAAATCATAGCACAGTTACATGCTGTGATATATTTTAGGGTTTTAATACACATACCATTTGATACATATGTCAGTTGCTCGCATTTATTCATAATATTCCATTAGAGTCTCAGTCGAAGCAATGAATAATGAATATCTACCAGATCTTAATTGTTTGGCTATTGGTGGTTATCCGATTGGATTTGGAAAATGGGGAACGGGGCACCTTTACCCGGAATAGCGATGATAAATTTCAGATGCTAATCGCAGGTGGCGTAGTGCCCGATAACGGCAAATTTGTACGCAATATTGTCTCAATACGCACATTGCATTACATACAATTCTATGGCGATAATCACTTCTGCACCGGGGTCATTCTAAGCAGCCAGACCGTCTTAACTGCAGCTCACTGTGTGACAGAGTAAGCAATTACTAAGGATAACTATATATGTATGCATATAATTATGTTTATATATTTAATTCACAGCCGTCATAAATCCATTATGAATCCACGCGGTTTACTAGTAGTCTTTGGGGCTGTGGGACGCTTGGATAAATATGGCAAGGACGACAGTCGACGCATCACACAGATTGCTGTGCATCCAAAATATCAGCGTTATTTGAAATACGATGTGGCGCTATTGCGCTTAGCGGATCGTATTCCGGGCAATACGCGACACGTAAAGCCGATAATGACACGAAAGTGGGCCAGCTTCTACGTGGGCATGTTATGCATCACCATGGGCTGGGGTCAGCTCTATCCGGTAATAATCGCTAGCTATCGATTTAATTGATCGACTATATGTATAAATTGACTATTTAGCATGGTCCATATGCCAATGAATTGATGTATCTGGAAGTGGCAGTGCGCGATCACGATTTCTGTAACGGAATGGAAAATTATGATAGCGAAAGTAGCATATGCGCCGAGCCGAAGGATGAGGGGCAAGTTTGTCCCGGTGATTTGGGTTCGCCAATTATTTGCTCCACTTATTTCACGGGCATTATCGGTGGGGCACAGAAATGTGAAGGCATCAAAGCGTTGAAGTTTGTCAATTATTCCAAAGTTGAGGCTTGGGTTGATAAAACCGTTAGAATATTCTCGGGCAGTAGCAATATGTGGTTATCTCATTACCTATTGCTATTTACGCTATATGCATTGAGAGTTACTTAATTTATCGTATCCAAGTCTCTGGTGCACTTTTGCCGCTTTTAGGAAATCCCCACATAAATAGCTTTAGTTTTTAACATATTTCGAGTCTTAAACTAAATTGTTATTTATATTTTTAAGTTTACGTTCTCATTTAAGCAAATTCAAATATTTAAAGAAAAATTAAATTTAAATAATAACAATCAAATAAATTGAAGCAATCTGGTATCGCCGTTTCTGATACACAGTATTGTAACAGTCTGGTAGCTCAGCTCGCTGTTCGTAAATGTATAAATAAAGTTTTGTGGCGATCTGGCAGCTCTATTAGGTATTTTCAGTTTTGGCATATTTTGGTTTGTCGAGTATTTGTATGTTTTCTCGCTCTCTCTTCCTCTGTCTGCATGTTTGCCGGAACAGCTGATTGGCCTCTGAATATGTAATAGTCGGCAGTAAATTGAAATTGAATCAAAATAATAATGCATAAAATTAGCCATAATATAGCTAAAGCTGCGCGGCAGCATTGTTGGCGGCAACACAGACAGCTTTCCACCTGGTCGCCACTGGGCACAGCCTTCAATGCGCCGCCAACCAAACGAATCAACTTCACACGGAACGAGGTGGTAAGTGCTTCCCCCAGGTGAAAGAGAAAGTTAAAACAAAATATACATAAATCTTAGTAATACGATTATTATTGTGACAGGGCCTGTTTCTCATGCCCGAACTGCGCAACGCCGATGGATTTCATCTGCTGCGAGAAAATGTTGAGAACTCCACGCAAGAGCTCATCGCAGAGGCCGTATCCAGCGAGAGGAAACGCAAGATGGTGGACATCTTCGACGAGCTGTCCGATTCGTTGTGCAAAGTGGCCGATCTGGCCGAGTTCGTGCGCATTGCCCATCCGCAAAACAAATACATGCAGGCAGCCGAGCAGGCCTGCATTAGCATCTGCGGCGTCGTGGAGAGCCTGAATACGCACAAGCCGCTGTATCAGGCGCTCAGTAAAGTGGTTTGCGATGGCGACTTGATGCCCACCACCGAAGTGGATCGCCATGTGGCCAAGTTGTTTCTGTTCGACTTTGAGCAGTGCGGCATCCATTTACCCGAGAAGGAGCGGCTGCGCGTGGTGCGCTTGAATGACTATATTCTCCAGTTGGGACAGAAATTCATGAACGGAGCCGCTCAGCCGACGGTGCTGCCGCGCAGTTGTGTGCCCGAGGACATAAGGGATTAGTAAGAGCGGAGTAGTGCTATGTGTAGTGCTGAACATTTGCTAATCATAAATTCCTTCCATACAGCTTTCCCACATCTGGCGAGAACATCATCATCACGGGTCTCTGCACGAATGCAGCGAATGTCCAGATGCGGGAAGCCGCCTATCGTCTATATCTACAGCCCTCCGATAGTCAGGAGGAGCTGCTCAAGGATCTCTTAATCTGCCGCTATGAGCTGGCGCGCAGCTGTGGCTTCGAAACCTACGCGCATCGTGCGCTCAACGGCAGCACCATGGAGAAGCCGGAACTTGTGCGCGAATTCATTGATGAGCTGTCGGAGCAACTGCGTCCGCGTGCCGATGCCGATTTCGCGGTGATGACCCAAATGAAGCGTAAAGAAAGCGGACAAAACACGGCGCTAGTTGAGATCTGGGATACGCCGTACTTTACATCGCAGCTGAAGCGACAATCGCTGGAGGAGCAAGCAAATGAATTTCTGCCCTATTTCTCGCTGGGCGGCTGCATGGAGGGATTGGACAACTTGCTGCACTCGCTGTACGGCGTCCGTCTGCAGAACACGGAAATGGAGCCCGGCGAGAGCTGGCATAGCGACATCTACAAGCTGGCCGTGATGCACGAGACCGAAGGACTGCTCGGATATATCTATTGCGACTTCTTTGAGCGAGCGGGCAAGCCCAATCAGGATTGCCATTTCACTATCCAGGGTGGCAAGCGGTTGCCCGACGGCAGCTACCAGCTGCCCATTGTGGTTGTGATGCTGGGCCTGGCGCAGCCCCGGTGGACGGGACCGACGCTACTGTCGCCCGCTCGCCTCGACAATCTGTTCCACGAAATGGGCCATGCGATGCACTCGATGTTGGCGCGCACCGAGTATCAGCATGTGACGGGCACACGTTGTGCCACCGACTTTGCCGAGGTTCCCAGCGTGCTAATGGAATACTTTGCCAGTGATCCTCGAGTGCTGCGCACCTTCGCCCGCCACTTTCAGACACACAAACCCATCTCGGAGGACATGCTGCAGCGGTTATGCGCGTCGAAGCATCTGTTCGCGGCCAGCGAGACGCAGCTACAGGTCTTCTATTCGGCGCTCGATCAGGTCTACCACGGCGAGGCGGCCAAGCAGGGCAAGAGCACGACAGAAACACTGCGCGATGTCCAGAATTGTTACTATGGCCTGCCCTATGTGGACAATACCGCCTGGCAGCTGCGCTTCTCCCATCTGGTGGGCTACGGTGCCAAGTATTATGCGTATCTCATATCGAAAACGATCGCCTCCTGGATATGGCAGACGTATTTCGAGGCGAATCCCTTCAACCGGCAGGCGGGCGAGAAATATCGTGCTGAGATCCTGGCGCATGGAGGCGCTGTGCCCAGCCAGAAGCTGGTGGCGAATTTCTTGCAGCGCGATCTGACGCCGCGCATATTGGCGGATAGCTTGATACATGAAATCGATATGGATGAGTCGAAGATAAGAGAATTGATTGTTAGCAGAAACTAGTAGAGAAAGTAAAATCTGTTTTGTATATACTGTTTTCTCTGTTTTTTATTATAATTAGTTAACTGCCCCCTATCTTGTTTTTTGTACATAGTGAATTTGGTTTTTTCTCGTCATTTTTAAAAACACTAAGCCGGCAACACAGTGGGCATCAATTCAACGCCCACAAATTCCTTGGCAATGCGGACGCCCAGAAAGAACATACCAAAACTTTTTACCAACATCCTAAAAGCAAGGAATGAGAAATAAGTTTGGTTATGTAAACATTGCTCCGACATATAGTTTTCGTGTGTGCTACTTACCACTGGAACTCATTGTTGTAGATGCTACGCAGAACATTAAATGGATTACCAGCTTTAGCCATTTTAAATCAAAAAATTTGTTATACTTTAACGTATTACTTCAGTTGTGCTGTTTTGCTGTCGCAAGATGAGTGAACAAATAATAATACTGATAACAGCAGGCACACTATGATACACTGAAATATTCTAGTATATTTTTTTAGGGCATAGAATGAACTCCAGTCCCAGGTGTGTAGCGTTCACAAACAAATGCACTTGTTCTATTACGAATGGTATAATATTGAAGTTTCTAGAGCTGGTCACATTGCTATACAGAAATTATCTAGCATTTTTATGCAGCTTTAACTGCCTGTATTGGTGCTGGTCACACTGTTTGCTGGACGAATTACACACGTGCAGCGCCAAAACAAGAAGTTTTTGGGGCATTTCAATAGGAATTCGAACTTATAGCCATGGACCCGCCTAAGGATGTGATTGATATGGAGGTCGTAGAGCCGGAGGATGCGGAAAGCGA